TTTAATTAATATTAACCCCATGATTTATTATAAAAGGATCTACATTTTGTTTACTTCTATCGCGAATCACGAATTAAGTTATTAGTAATACACATATTTAATTCCTAATTTTCGTTTTTCCCAATTTTCCATAATTAGGAGTCCATGGACCTAAACTATCATTAGCATAAAAATCCATAGGATAAATATCTTGCCAATTAATTGTATCCAATGCAACTGATGCTTCATATGGAGTAAGTAAAGGTTTAGAAAAAGCATAACCCCAATCAATTGATAAACGAGGACACGCTATTTGAATCCATCTAAAAAAAATAATAATAAAATAAAATAGAATAAAATAGAATAAATAAATAAATAAAATAAATAAATAAAATAAAATAAAGTAAATAAATAAATAAATAAATAAAGTAAATATCAAAAATTTATAAATACTAACGCATCAATATCCTGAAATTGATTTAATTTATCAGGAAATATTTCTGAAAGTAGAACACAGACATAATCTAATCCTCTAGATTGAATTTTTTCTTCAAGGCACTAATAATATAATATGATAAATATAATAGATATAATAGATATAATAGATTAATGATATAATAGATATAATAGATTAATGATATAATAGATATAATAGATGTAACAGATATAATATAATAAAAAATTAAATTACCTCTAATACTTTGGGACTACCTTGTCTACCCAAAGTTCCTAATATTAATCCAAACCTTTTAGCATTTTTAGTTAAATCAATGGCATGTTTACGTAAAGAATACATGTCTTCATGATCGTAACGTTCACGGGTAAATTTTTTTGAATACGGATCATAACTTTTTAAAATTATTTCAAAATAGTATTAAAAAAAAAATTAATATAAATAATATTGAAATAGTATTGAAATAATATTAAGAAGAGATAGAAATAACAATTACCGAAATGCAGGAATACTTGGATTGGAGATCATTATAGATTCTAAATGAAATCTTCCATCTCCCAAATAACTAAATAATTATCAAATAAATAATTATCAAATCAAATAAATAATATTTAATATAAAATTAAATAAGAAAATAAAATGTAAATACATTATAACATCTTGTTCACCTAATTTTGGTGAAGTACATCCAAGAATTTCACCAGGAGACAAAGGTTTGGCTTGAGGTACATTTAGAATATAATCATTTTCCAGAAATTTTTTTACTGACTATAAATTAATATTAAAGATTAAATTATTATTAAAATTAAAAAAATAAATAATATATTAGACCCACACACATATATAAAAGATCATTTACCTGAATAGAAGAAACAAATTGAATTGTTCCTACAATTGTTAATTTTTTTCCAAGTTCAAAATTCATTTTTAAGGTATTTATAAAATGATCTATATCAATTCCTATATCCACAAATACATACATTGTCTTGATTGTAGTTATATTTACTGGAACTATATTATAATAAATAAATAATTAATTTATTATATAATGAATATATAATAATAAATAAATATATAAATAAAGTAGATAAATAAAATATATATATAAGATGACAATAACCTAAACAACTATGTCCATAATGAACCATAAAATCACAATCTAAAGCTTTAGCAGTAAAATCATCTACACAACATGCTCCATATGTAACATCTCCCATTATTAAAGTTTCCACATTGCAATATCTTTCTAATATATCAGCAATTATACATGCAAACATTAGAAGACCTTCGGGAAATTGTAATGCAACTTTCTTGGAATTAGATCGTTTAATTTGCCATACTGTTTTGTGAATTTCTAAATTATAATTTAAAGGAAGCTAAAAAAAAAAAAATTGGTAAATAAATTGAAATTATCATCGAATTTTAATGGAAATGATTTAAAAACCTGTTCAATCGCTTTATTTAATAATGGATCATTTAAAATTTCAATAGGAATTTGGTTTACAATTCTATTATTTGAATTATTTGATTTATGAGGAACTATATTGGTTTCTTTTTAGATATTAATTGTAATATTAATTGTAATATTTAATTATTATAAATATTATAATAATATTTAAATAAAAAAATACCTTTAATATTAACGTCATCTTCTATATTATTAATTGAAGCCGTGTTATTATTATTATTATCATTTTCTTTTATTTTTCTCGCTCGATTCTTTCCTATAAATCTTTTAGGTGATTTTGACATTTCTAAAACTTCGATAATAATCAGCAAATCATTTAAGACGTGATCCGGCTAAGATCGGCACTCGTTTTATAATAAGATCCGGGATAAGTTATTTAATACCAGTCAGCGGATATGTTAGACCGATCGGCGAGCAAATTTTTTTATATAGTGAAATGTTCACGTGATTTATCGATTTCATATGAAATTTCGTCCCTTTTTTGACTTCGTGTCTAATGTAACCATGTCACATTCATAAATAATTTGTGTTTCTATTTATCTCAAATAATAATTAGGTTCTTAAAAACACTTTTATAAACTTTTAAAGTTAAATAGTTTCGTTGGTTTATAAGGATCTCGAAATGAAAGTTGTCATATATTACTTTAACAATTATACCATAGAAATCCTTCAAAATGTATTTTTAACTCAATTTTTTTTTAATTTTATATCAATTTTTTTATCTTTAACGAAATAAAATATATATTTGCACATAGTGCTACCAAGGAGGCAAGGAGGCGAGGAGTATAATGATTTTTTTTTTTATAATAAAAAAGCTGAAATAAAAAGATGGGTTTTAAAATATTTAATTGTAAAGGAAATGAGATAAATGAAAATATAGAAATTGTGGATTTTTTTGATAACATACCAGAAAATAATGACGATATCAATTTATTTACTGAAATTGTAATAAATAAAGTAAAAAAATTACTTAATAAAAAAAATGAATTTGAAAATATCAAAGATACTGAAGATACTGATTCAGAAATTGAATCTATAGCATCAACCATTGTAACTAAAAGTATAGATGATGATAACTATGAAATAGAAATACCACAAACTGCAGGTTCGCATTTAACTTCATGTGCATTGATAGATAAAATAGATGGAAAAATTCAAAGATGTGGTGATACCAAAAATTTATAAGGAATAGTGCAATTAATTGGAATATGGCAACTTGATGATAATGCAATGAGGCTGATAAAGAGATAGAAAATCTAGGAGTATGCCAACAACATTTTATGTTTGATCAAAATCGCCTACATAAAAAAGGTGCTAAACAAGAACAAAATATAATTAATAGTTATTTGCATCAAAGACGTTGTAGATTTTGGTGGTCTTAATTTTTATTTTTTTAGTCGTGATAAATTTTGTCTTGAGCATTCAATATCTATTGGAGGAAAAAATCTGCTTTTACCATGTATTGGTCACAAATTATATCCTGCATTACAAATTAATGAACCATTTACTATTTTAGCAAAATTACAAGTATCTCGATTTTTATGCTGTGACTGTTATGAAAAACATGATGGACATTTATATGTAAGACCTGGAAGAGAAAAAGTTATACAAGAATGTGAAATACAAGGTAAACATAATCAGGATACCATATTAGCATTACAATTAATAGGGAAGTGGATTATTAATCTTTCTAATTCAAATAATGAATTATTAAAAAACAAGATATTAAAAAATATAACAATAGCTATTGAACAATCACTAAATACTACTTCTGATGAATCTTCTTTTACAAATAATAATTATAATAATACAATTCCAATTTATAAATCTTCAAGTTTACTTTTTGTAAAAGTTTTTTAAATTATATAATATAAATATAGAAAAAGAAACTAATTATAATTTTCAAGAAGATGATTATTATAGAATAGGATTGCAAATAGGACTTAATCTTATAAAAAATCGTAAACAAATTTTACAAAAAAAACAAGTACTTGAAGAACCTCAATCATTAGAAGAATATCGTTCAGCATTACCTGTAGAACTTTATAATTTATTAAATGGTATTATTCAAATTTTATTCAAAAAAAAAAAGACAAGTTACAAATCAGGTACAAAAAAGTAGAAATGGTAATAATAATAACTTTCAACAAATTAATATAAAAAAAATTCAAAAAATAGTAATTTTTATTTGTTCTATAATTATTACAATTGGATTTAAAAATACAAAAATTTGACTTACTAGAATGATTTCTAATTTATGTAGAAAACCTCATTTATTTACAAATCTTCATGATTTTTTAGTATTAGTTAGTGTATCAGGAATTACTAGATGATATGAAAGATGTCTTGAAACTCAATGTATGGAATTAGCTAATCCTACATTACGAATACAACAATCATCTAATATATGGAATGTGTGTGTTATTGACAATATTGATTTCAAGGAAAAAATATTTACTTATAGAAATATCTATGATACTACATGTACTAGTTCACATGCCACATTACATTTATTATTTCAATTTAAATTATCTATTGAAATTAATTCAATTTCTAATGATAAAATTCAATTAGATGAAAATACAAAACTTTTGAAGAAAATCCAATAACAAAAGAAGTTATAACAATTTTCAATTCTATTTTTATACAATTACTTAACTTTCATATCAATAATGATTTTTCAATTCAATATTTATCATCTTATAATGTTGAAATTTTTAATGAAAAAATAAGAAATCATTTTTGTAATGATAATTTATCAAATTATCCTCTAGCTCATCTTGTCATATTAGAAGCAGATGACAATCCTAATAATAATGCAAATATTAATGCAGCATGTAAACAATATTTTAATAATTTAAAAATTAATAATAATTCAAAAATAAAAGTAATTGAAGATGAAATTATTTTTAAAAGAATTCTTAAGTATTACCAAAAAATTTCTAGAATATATTCACTTTTAGGACAATGGTACACAAGTAAAGATATGTGTAGTAATTTTTTGATTATATTTTCAGGATATGGAATTTACAATATAGCAGCTATTCTTGAGATAGTTTTTTTAGATAAACTTGAAAAGGTAGTAGACTATAAATCTACATGTCGAATTCTAGATCTAATTTGGATTACTGTTGGAAGTGCAATTCATATCTATATAAAAAAAAAGAATTTAAATTTTAATAATATTATGGATATGAAAAATAATTTGTTGAAAACATGGTTTTGTTTTTATAAATGGACTAGTTATTGAAAAGGACATTGTACTGGTATTTGTACAGGAAACAATGAATTACAAATATAATGCTTATCAGCATTTTCTTTTCTATTTCCTATTGCTGGTAAAATAAATTACACCTGTTTAACTATTCATTTTCTTGCTATTATAACTAAAAATCCAAAAATACAAACCTTATTGAAATATGCAAGTTCAATTAATTTGACATAAAATGGACATTACTTTGCATTTGATAAGGCATTAGAAACTTTTGAAGTTAAATTCATCAAACAAAATATTACTGGTAATATAGTTGATAAAAAAAATTTGAAACGTCAGATCAAAACTGCACAATCTGAAAAAGAATAGATGAATTTTTTATTAGATGAGTTTCTTGATGATATTGTATTATCAACAACTATATGAGCTATTAAAGAATGCCATGAAGTATTATGGAAATTAATTAATCAATTACTTGAAGTATTTGAAATGGAAAATGAAATTTACTATTCATTATTTTAAAATTGTAATCAATTAACAACAGAAGGATTTGAAAAATTGTATGGATGTTATCAAGATGGTATTGTATGATTGAATAAGATTTTTCAACAAGAGATTTTATGCTTACAAGCAATTGATACTAAAGGTAGAGGTGCAAAAGGAATAGATGTTACAAAAGTTACAGATTTAAAAGAAAAATTAAAAAAAAATATCAAAAAATATATTAATCCCTTTAATAATCCACCTAATGAAAATTTAATACAAGAAAGAAATAAATTACCACATTTGAATCAAGTGAAATTATTTCTGTAAATGAACAGGAATCATCAAAAAAAATTAAAATAACATAACATTATTTATCAAAAGAAGAAAAATATATTTTAGAAACTTTATTTGCATATGATATAAGACCTTCTGATATTGTAATTGATTTTGCTTTGTCAAATCTATTAACTTATTGAGACGGTAGGACAAAAAAAAGATTAGAGATATATGGGGTTATAAAAAAAAAAAAAGAAAAGAAAATTCCAAAAGAATAAAAATAAATTAATAATTGATATATGAAAATTATTAACTCTTTTTTATTAATAATAATAAATAATAATTAAAAAATATTAATGTCAATAAATATTACAAAATAAATATTATAAAATATCAAACTAAATATATATAACAAATTAATAGTTTTCAAGTGACTTTTTCTTTTTAGATCTTGAAAGAAAATAAAAATTTTCTTATTAATTACAAATAAAAATTCAATTTTTTTGCATTTATACAAAAACTAACTAATTAATTTCTTTTTTGACCTTAGAAAAACTTTTTTCTCTCGTGAAATTACATATATTTCTATTATCAAAACTTCATATTTATTTTTAGTTTTATGAAGATCTTGAAAAAATAATAATATTTTGAACAAAGTTTCTAATAAATTTTAAGTGAGAAAACTAAATTTTAGAAAAATAAAAATGATTAAAATTGATCAAAAGTATTATGTTTGATTATTTTAATTAGTTTATATAAGCATAGTATATAGAAATTTTATTGACTTTTTATATGAGTGAAAATGTTCAATAATGGTTACACAATTTTTTTTACTATGAAATTTGATTTTCATAATACATTTCCACTGAATGATACACTCCCCTGTCAAAAGTATCTGACCATTTATTTTTTAAGTAAATTTTTATTTGCTAATAATTCATAATCTAATTTATTAAATTGGGTCAATTTTTTTTTATTTTATTCCCTGATTCTGACCTTTCATATAATACCTTTTATATTGAAATTAGATAAATATTTGTTGAAAAAATTTAACTTAAAGAAAACTTTTTAAAATTCGAATTTTAAAACTATAACTTTATAATTATTCAATTTCAATAAGTATTGATCGTAACTATAAAGAATCTTATAGAAATTTGTAGTCAAAAATATAAGCTACAATTTTAATTAGAAGCACATTTGATAGTAACTAGTAAAATTTTGACTTTACTTAGACTGAACTAAATTTATTTATTTATTTATTTATTTATTTTAGTAAACCAGCACGATCTCATACAGTTTCTTTTAAGT